ACAGAACAAGATGGAGTCGGCTGGCGTAGGCCCGCCCTTTCAAGCCCTGCTCTGGTGTCACCTCCCTGGGCTCCAGATTTTCCTGTTCTCTTTTGGCTTTCCACCTGCCTGCCCAACGAGTTGGGTTCCCTGGAGATCCTGCCCGCCCGCATTGCCCCCCACCCCCCGCCAGGATGGGGGGCTGGTGGGACCGGAGCAGGGCCAGGCCCTGGGAGGAGGCAGGATCACTGACCACCCCCCCCACGCCCGTTTTGCAGACAGACCGTGACCTCCTATGGCTGCCACCCTGTCCCACACTTGAATGGATGCCCCCTTTTTTTTTTTGGATGAATCTTACATTTTATGCTGAATTAATTAGAAAAATTAAGATGTTATGTGAATTACAAAACCACAGTTGATTTCACCTTCTACTTTTATAGACCTTTTCCTTTAGAAAAATGAGTCCGTAACTCGAGAGGATAATTCTACTTGCTGCCAGGCCACTGACGGTCGGGGGACGCATGCTCCGTGCCAGGCCTCCCGTTGTGGGTTCTGGAAATTAAGGCCATGTCTCGCAAGCTCCGTGTGTGTGTGTGTGTGTGTGTTTGTGTACTGGGGTCACCGAGTCCCATCAGGGGCTCTGGGAGCCCGCTTCTCACCCCCAGCCCACCAGGGCCAGGCTCCCAGGGCATCCCGCCACCCCGGGCGCCAGTCGGTCTCTAACTGTCTCAAGGGTCTTGCACCCCAGGGGAGGTGCCTCTTCCTGGTACTCACAAAGGTGTCCTAGGCACCCTCAGTGGCTCTGCCCCAACCTGCCCCCTCCTGCTGTCCCAGCCTCAGCCCCTTGCTGGTTCTCCTCTTCTCCCTCCAGGAGTGCAGTCAGTGAGCCCAGGAGACCCGGCCCACCTCCGGCAGCACCGCCCCCCTTCCAGAGGGTGTGGAATTCACAAACACCCTCAGCCTGGAGCCAAAGCCCCCCTCTGTTGCTATTAAGAGACTTGTCATGGGGCGCCTGGGTGGCGCAGTCGGTTAAGCGTCTGACTTCAGCCAGGTCACGATCTCGCGGTCCGTGAGTTCGAGCCCCGCGTCAGGCTCTGGGCTGATGGCTCGGAGCCTGGAGCCTGTTTCCGATTCTGTGTCTCCCTCTCTCTCTGCCCCTCCCCCGTTCATGCTCTGTCTCTCTCTATCCCAAAAATAAATAAACGTTGAAAAAAAAAATTTAAGAGACTTGTCACCCCAAGACCCTCCCTCTGGGGACTGACTGGTTTCCTCACCCGAGGACTCCAGAGTCTCGGGGAGACTTTGCCGCCTCCAGGCTGAGTACAATGTATGCAGGTGAAACGCTATGGGCTCAGAGGAAGCAGTGAGAGCAGGGCCTGGTGGGGACCCTTGTGTGGAGCCCACTGGGAAGCCAGGGGTGGGGCAGGGGGTGACCTGCTCAGACTGACCCTCTCAAGGCCACTCTGGCTGCGAACGGCGATGGGGGGGGGGCTGCGGTGGCGATCGGGGGTGGTCTGGGGGCCCGATCCTGTGCACTGGGGGTGCTCGGGGGAGTGGGGCCCTCAGCGCCAGCTCCCAGGAGACACCAGTCCTTTCCCTTCCTCTCTTTATGACCCTTTCCCCTCGGCCAGAGTTGGCTCCGTCCCTGAGATGAGCCCCAAGGGCCCCAGAGCGTTGGTGGGAGCATCTGGGGGAACCCCATACATCTTGGGGACCAAACCCAGGCCCCTGCCAGCCCCATGCCCGGGGTGGAGGGTGGGGGGAGGTGTGCTGCATGTGAGCCCGTGTCCATGAGGTGGCAGCACAGTGTCGCAACACAGGGATGGAGCCAGCCTTCCTGGGGGGGCCACCTGGCTGCCCCAGGACACCCTGCTCGGTCCCCCTCACGTTCGAGTTCTGCTCAGTGCTCCGGTTTTCTCCTCTGTCAAACACGTCTGCCTCTAGCACGCCCAAATTCCTCACCCACAGGACCGTGTGCAGCAAAATGGCTACTGTTTCAAGCCCGAGTTTTGGGGATGCTTCATCGTGCAGCAGTGGATGGCTGATATGGGGGCGAAGACAGATGTGAGGGGGCCAGGGGGGCTTGGGCCAGGGAGAGAGCAGTTGGTGGGAGTGAGGAGGCCCGACGTGGCACGGATGAGGAGGGCAGAGCCAGGCAGAGCCCCTGGTCAATCTGGGTGTGGGGCGTAAGGGACAGGCGGGTCCAGCGTGACTGAATTTTTGGCCCGAGTGAATGGAAAAAGGACCCTGCCACTCACTGAGATGGGGACTGTGTGGGTGGAAAAGGCTGTGCGGCGTCAGGAGCTCAGGTCTAGAAATGCTGGGCATGAGGTCCTCACAGAGGTCCACGTGGGGATGCCGGGAAGGGCACAGGCGTCTAGAGTTCTCAAGAGGGGTCCCGGCAAGGAGACAGGGATGTGGGAGCGGCCAGCCCCTGCTGGTATTGCCACGGGAGTGGAGATCACGGAGGGAGTGGGTGTGGGTAGAAGGGGAGAGCCCAGGAGTGAACCCCGCAGGTCAGGGATCCTTGGGGGGGGGGCGAGGAAGGAGGGCCTGGGGCTACAGCATCCTGGAAGCCCAGGGGAGAAAGTGAATGAAGCCGGAGACAGCTATGGACATCCGTCTAGGCTCCCTGCCGCTGCTGTGACAAATAACCTTACACTCGGAGGCTAAAAATAGGACACAAGGTGTCGGCAGCTGGATCCTCCCTGAGGATCCAAGAAAGAATATGCATCCGTAGCTGGCAGCCCTTCCTGGGTCTACAAAGCACACACTCCGACCTGTGTCTGTTGTCACATTGCCTTTTCTCCCTCTTCTTCCTGAATCACGTTGTCTTCCCGACTCTGTCCCTCCTTCCTCCTTCTTATAGGGACCCTGTGATTACACTGCACCCCCCCCC